CCGGCAATCAATTCTGCTAAACTTTTCTTTGATATAGCAGAGTGAACACGGCGACTAAATTCTAAAGCTCTCGATTATTTATGTGGCCGACGCCACCACAGACGCCCTTATCCCCTCGGAGTCGGACCCTCTTGCTCTTCCCTCCGCGTGTCGCTACGTAAAAAAACGAGTAATCGTCTGCGGCTTCCTCTGAGTGAATTTTCCCATTCGGAAAATGGTTTAAGAAATTAGGTAGCTCAACGATTCATATTTCACGGAAGCTAAAGCTCTCAGACTCGTATTTCAACCTTGTATACTTGAAGAACAAAAAGATTTTCTCGAGATTTTTTATGTCGCTCGTAAAAAAAGGAAATGTAAAGGCGAAAAACAAAACAACGAATGTCTAAATAAATTCGTAGAAAATAATAAAGTCAGAAAGATCTAAAAATGGAAAACAAAGTATTCTTAATAATCTAGTGGTTTGACCAAATAATTGTCTTCTATTTGTTGTTTACATTACCTGAAACAAAGCAAATAAATTTTACATTTTACGAAGTTATATTAATTTCTTATAGTAGGTGGATAAGAATACACAAAAGATTATTACAAATAGATATATGTATGTTAATCTATACATATAATAAAATTGTAACTAAGCCGAATCTGAGCATTATATATTTTTTGGAAAATCTTATTGAAATCAACATTATTATCGATACAGAGGCCGAATATAGTTTTTAGAATTTTTGTCTGTCTGTCTGTTACCGCATCACAGCAAAACCACTGTAGTGATTTTGATGAAATTTGGTATGTTGATAGCTGGTTATCCGAGTCAATATAACCAGCTATAACCATACCAAATTTTCTATCATCATACTTTTTACCGCGGGGAAATATCTCATTGCTGAGAAAAAAATACAAAAACTGCAATGTAATAGTATACTAATATGTAAAACCTAAGAATTTGGTTTTTGGTTATCTGAACGCGGGCGGAGCCGCGGGCAATGCTAGTATAATAAATATTTTCATTATTCTATACCCAAAAACTTTAACTGAGTTAGCCATTATAGTATGTATTTTTTCATACATAGGTGTTGGTATTTCACATTCAAAGAGTGAAGAAGCATGGGTTTCTGAAATCAATAAATACCTTTTATAACTTTTAAAAAAGTAAACATTTTCAATGAAAAATATTCAACCATTACTGACGACGTATTCTATCATGGTATTCAACTAATTTTAATTGTATAGAAAATATAAAATGCAAATAATTACATATACCTACTGACATGGACAATTTAACTTTAACAATACAATGGACCTAGAATCATATGTGTAGAAGCATGATGCAGTTCCAATAGCAAAATAATTAGCTCGCTAAATGTAAGGGCAACCCGCTACTGTAGTGTGTTTTGCTTCGCTCACATATTATGTTACATTTTTTATGAAAAAAATTGTATGTATGCCAATTAGTATTAGCCAACACGAACCCGCGTCTCTTATCATGTTACAAAGATAAAAATAGCCATTATTCAATCCCGCAGATGTTATTTATTTTTTACATCAATTTTCTTTAAAATTAGCGTATACCCTGACACGGGGCAGATAAATGCCCGATTTCACCAACGTCACCTAAGTGTAAGGGATCCCCTAAGCATGGTTAGGGGGCTGTTAGGGGACAGTTTCTGTTTCACCGACAGTTAGGGGTCACCTAAATGTTAAAAGGCACCCTAAGGTGCTCGAAATATGGGCTTAAAGACGATGGTAAAACGAAATTTAATTTAGGGGCTAGTTTAGGGGAATTTTAAGCTAAGGATCCCATACATAGGTGGTAGCTTATGGATTGTTGGTGAAATCGGGCAAGACTTTCGTTTTATGGTTTGATATCGTACGAATAATCATATATAAGGCAGCACTTTTAAAAGCACTTTAAGACATTTAGTTTATAAAAATAGATTTCCTTACATTGTACCATTTATAAAACAAACGTCAGACCATATTTTGTGCCCTTATAATTGAGGCGAGAACCAATGGATCGAATTATACGATAAAATTTGCGTATCAAAAGACGTTATGCGCTATAGTAGTAACAATTGAAGTTTACATGAAATTAAAATTCACGGCGCGGGTTTCTAGTTTATAATTGAAATATTCTACTCCTAAACTAGTTTTATAAATAATGAAATAAAAGTAATTAAATATCAACATTTTCCTGCTATACCTAATCTATGTATATACATATATATAAAAGGCAAAAGTGACTGATGTATCAACGCACAGGCCAAGCCCTTAAGGCTAGAAAATTGAAATTTCGCACACGTTTTCCTCATATGACGAAGGGATCCACTAAGGAAGAATTTTTCAAAATTCAACCCCAAAGGGGGTGAAATAGGGGATAAAAGTTTGTATGAAACTTTTTATTCCTTGGACATATTTGCATGAAATTTCGTATGAATTGAGTACGGCAAAAATAATGAGTTATTTCAGCGTTTTCTAACATTCAACCCTTAAGAGGCTAAAATAGGGGATGAAAGTTTTTATGAAACCCACTTCTTAGAATTTTGTTGTAGTTTTAGGGCGAGCGAAGCCGCGAGTTCGGCTAGTGTAAGCGTATGGTAGGTACCATGGTAATCGACTTTAATAGAATTGTAGATTGTATAGATGGATGATTAGTCACACGTATTATATTCTTTATTGCACTTTAAATGTAGTACAGAAAAAAAACAATAAATTTAATAATTAATGTAAGGCCTCTACTTATATACACATATGTATATTATAATAATTATATTGTATAGGTACATATATTTAATATATATAAAATATGAAAATAGAAAAATGTGCTGCTGATTGATACATGTCTATATTTGTGATAACAGTTTTTTTTTTAATTTGGATTTAAAAATAAGGGCACTCGTGGATGGTTTTGGGCAGTTTGTTCCAGAGTACTGCGGCATGGACGGTAAAAGAATTTTGTCGGAATTTAATGTTGCTCCTAGGAATATCAAGCAAAAAATCAATGCAAGACCTCCTGGAACGTGTTGGGATTGGTAGAAAGTTAAAACGGGAACAAAGTTAAGGAGGGATATATTGATTTTTAAGGATATTATAAAGAAATGTTAGGATGTATCACGGCGAAGACGTATGTTGAGCCAATTAAGTTAAGCACGAAAATCAGATATTTCTACTAACTATTACTTGTTTATATCTTGAACTATTTATTGTTTATATCAATACCTTGAATATCACTATAAATTGAAGACTGTCGTTTAATTATGTCCAAAAGTTCACTCTCTGGAACTTCAGTATCATTACGACTTCAAGTTTAATATCAAAACAGACGGCATCGCATTCTCCTTTAACTTTAAACACCGTAAATTAAATCTTGCAATTTAAACAATTATGGTATTTTATATATTATGTATCTGCAAAAATTCTAATAGTAGTAGAAAAGGAAAAAAAAACATTCACTTGTAAACGATTTGACAGTTTTAAAATCAATTTCTGGTTGTTTCGCCAGTTTTGGTCGTCTATTGCTTTCGCGCACAATTTATTCAGTTTTTTGTCCTTTGGGAACAAATTATATCAATTTTCTTTTCATCCTGGCACTGTGAAATTTGTCATTTTAATTAAATTTTACATAAAATGAAAAAAAATACATCCACGATATAGAATGTAATGAGGATTATACTGATCGCGACATCTGGCGGGAGAAAATGGCAAAATTCTTCCCCATTATTACACACACACTATTATATTGAAATATCCATAGAAAACATTCATCCAAAAATGCAGAAGTTTGAAAACTTTGAATCGTGATAATTTTATAATCTTTACACATAAATTTATACATTTTTAAAAGGTACCTATCCGTTTCGCGAAAACACATATCGGTTAAAAAAACTGTCTCGACAAGTTCTTGCAGTTTTCACTTATATGAGCAAAGCTATACCTGAGAGCCTCCGGCACGCCCTAATGTCGTAAGTAATGTAATTTCAAGGCTCGTGGTAATTAAATGTACGTCATATAAGATCAATAAAATTATTCATTTAAAACTTTCTTTATTTTTTATTAATTTAATTTAAAATTAAAGCATATAATTCGTACTTCAAATTATCATCTCATTTCATTCAAAATTTAAACTATAAATAAAAATGCGAAAAAAAAGTTATTCTAATACAACTAAGTACTAAAATTAAATCATCTACAATATTTTTGCCTTTTTTATATGTAATTACATATTATATCTTAAATATTGATTTAAAAAAATAACTTAGATATATGTATCTCCCAAAATGCAGGTTTAAGTGAGTGCCAAGTAATATGAGAGAGCGTCGTAAGGTTAAGCATTAGGTACGTATTGGATGCTTAGCGCTAAACTTCGAAATACGTATCGACGCTAAAAGCTTCCTTAACGTTTATAAAGGAAGCTGATAACACGAGATACCAGCGATTCTTGCTAAACACTTACTTGAAATTAAGCTCGTTCCTTGACTACATAATATGTATATATATGTAAAAGCATGATAATATGATGTTTTAGGATATAATATCTTAATAAAAATCGGGCAGGTCCAAGTCTGCTCGTACACCGGAATCTTTCCATTGCATGAAAAATTTTGTTAACAAAATCTATTACGCTAAAAATACTTATATCTTTATTTTATGTAAAGGCAGTGGTAGTCTAGTGGCGCTTGCTTGGGAAACCATGTGAAGCGGGTTTCAATCCCAGGTCTCGCACCTCTGATATTTTAATTATTTTAGACATGATTACCAGTAGGTACTTTTCTTACGGTGAAGAAAAACATCTTTAAGTAATCTGTATATCTGAAAAAACCTATCAAGTTTTCGGGGGGAGGTAAGCCGCATATCCACATAATATAATGCTTTCAACTTTAGAAGCAATTTTAGAAACTCGAATAAAGCTCCAATAGCTTTCGAGTAAAATGTTGAATTTTAAATAAAACTTCTTTTAAATAAATCTTTTCGGATTTTATTTTATTTTGGGGATATTATTATTATAACCCTGTGGTGTCCAATTGCAGGGCAAAGGACACTCTACTCTTCTTCCACTTCTCTCTATCATCCGCCAAAATAAACCAGTCTCTCTGGAACGAGTCCAACTCATCCCGCCATCTCCATCTGGGTCTAACACGTTTAGTCTGCATAGTGAGATATTAATAAATCAATAATAAATAATCATTCAATCACCATGTTCACTTACTCTTCCTTTTACATCGGAGTGTTGTTTTTTTTTTCTTGACATACATTATTCTAAAATCAACATAATGAATGTAAAGTATTTATATTGTTTACTACCTATGATATTGACAATAAAGTCTATTTATTTCCTTAATAAATAAATATTATATAATATATGGTTGTTTTCATATAATAATGATAAAAGAAATTAAATTAAAAATTTAAAAACATCCAACACAATAATCTATTCATTGAGGCCATTTCAATGAGACTAAACACGTTATCTCTATAGTATTTTAGCAATGAATTGAGTATCTTGCAAATCCCAGGTGATGTTGCAGCTTTAGGCCCTGGTTACCATATCGTTGCAATGTCATTGAAGTAGCCATTAACAAAGTTTCGAGTGGATTAGATCTATGGAAGTTGCTCATATCCTTTTAACGACTAGAAAATAGCTGATGGTTTGCAAACGGCTTAACTGATTTTCTTGATTTCTAACTATGAACACACTCGATCAAATCTCCTTTTAAACAAAAAAGACCAAATTAAAATCGGTTCATCCGTTTGGGAGCTGCGATGTCACAAAAAGACGCACAGATACACAGGTTAAACTTATAACAACCCTCTTTTTGCGTCGCAGGTTAAAAATAAAAAATATATCTATTACAAAAAATTAATAAATGGTAGACCTATATTATTTATTACTCATAGAAAAGATAAATCTATACATATAATAAAATTGTAACTAAGCCAAATCAGTACATTAGATGTTTTTTGGAAAATCTTATTAAAATGATAAACATTTATTATCGAGACAGAGGCCGAATCTATAGTTTTTAGAATTTTGGTCTGTCTGTCTGTTACCGTATCACAGAAAAACCACTGGAGGGATTTTGATGAAATTTGGTATGTTGATAGCTGGTTTTCCGGGTCAACATATAGGATACTTTTTACCGCGGGAAAATATCTCATTTTTGAGAAAAAATACAAAAATTGAAATGTAAGAGTATACTAATATGTAAAACCTAAGAATTTGCTTTTTGGTCATCTGAACGCGGGCGGAGCCGCGGGCAATACTAGTTAAATTATAAATATTATTGTCTCGCTTATCATTAATAATTAATATTATATTAAGCTGCAAAACTTAATTTTTATCGTGCAATTTCACAATTTAAATGATAAGTTAATATTGTAATAAGCCAACGGAAATACCCATATTACATATATATAAAAATAGTGCAGCCACGTCACTCTTAACTCGTCATAAAACTGGAATAAAAAATTATAAATGCAAATGTGTTTGATTAGATATGTGACAAGGCTACTTTTATCTCGTTAGATGAAATGGTATTACCGTGGAAAATTATTATATAAGGCGAAAAATTACTGAAAAGCACGCAAAATATAGTTAGGATTGTACAAAGCAAGTTTACTAAGATAAGTGTAGTTTTGCGGAAACGTCCACATAGCGCAGCTATCGTGCGCGCATATAATTGACTGTATGCTGACGACAATTTAATCAAGCATTTCGTAGATTAAATCCACAGATTGGTTAGCAAAGGTAGACTTTAACTGTGCGATACCCAACGAGAAGTCATTTAAAGTTCATTCCGCAATCGTGCAATTTCCGCGCGAATCGAATTTCTGATAAATTAATCTAAGCGACATATATGTACATATATATATATATATATATATATATATATATATATATATATATATATATATATAAATTATCCACTTCTCAGCGGTGTTAGGTGATTACGGAGGTATATTTATTAGGAAAATAGGCACAGTAGGTACTTAGTTTCTTGACTTGACATGGCTGTGAACAGAGGACGCCATGTACATATATTTTTAATATGATAATCAATATAAAACCGCAAAAAATCGAAAACATAGTTTTATTTGTTATTTCTAAACTCATTTTGACCTTTGGTTAATTTTACTAATAAGTTTACCTGATAATTAAAATTTAATACTTGAAAACCGAAAGGAACCTAATTAAATGAACAAGCAAAATGGAAGCATATTGAGAATAGAGAGCATACTTTACAGTGTAATTATTGGTTTTTATTAACGAAATAAATCAAAAAATATTAAACCAATTTCCTTAATACCAACGTATGTTAGAATGATTCTATATATTTTGTCTTTTGCCTAATATTATTATTCCAATCTATATCCATACTAATATTATAAATGTGAAAGTGTGCCTGTCCTTTTTTCACGTCGAAACGGAATGACGTATTGGCGTGCTTTTTGTATGGAGATAGTTGGAGGGCTGGAGAGTGACATAGGCTACTTTTTACCGTGGGAAATTATCTCATTCCCATGGGAAAACACGTTATAATACAACCCAAAATATTATATATGATCAGAATTACTTGAAACTTGGTATTAAATATTAATGCTCTTCAATACAATTAAATAAATACGGGTTTTAGTATTTTTTCCGAAATTCATCCCATAAGGGGGTAAAATAATACATGAAAGTTTGTGTGAAACCTCTTTTTAGTTTTTTTTTGCGCGAGCGAAGTCGCGGGTTCTGCTAGTATTATATATGTGTTCTCCTAGCCGATTCCGGCCACGGCGGCCAATCTCATTGAGACTAGCCAACTGCGCAGGAGATATTATAGTGCACAAGTGTACGCGCAGACACAAGTGCACTCTATATTCCTGTCACTCTCATATTCTGGTGGGACGACCACTCGACACGACTAGTGAGAGTTAAAGCGCAGGACTGACAGCTTTGCGTGCTCTCCGAGGCACGGGGTTGAAACACCGCCAACTTCCCAACTCCAGGCTGTTACTGAGGCATACTATACAGAAAGACTCAATTACTAAACTTAACCCGACCCGGGACTCGAACCCAGGACCTCCGGGTGTGCAGCCGTACTTGCTAGCCACTACACCACCGAGGCAGAGATATATATATATATATATATATATATATATATATATAAAACAAAATCGGGTTTGTTACTCGAGAACTGCTCTTGTCTTCTACCCCGAATAGCAGAATAACTAATAAAACAGGAAAAATTCACGAAAACATTTTTTTGAAAAAAAAAAAACCATACTAAGCGTAAAAACGTACCTAGGGACGAACCTGAGCGAAGCGAGGGTGAGTCGCTAGTTTATAAAATAAAAGTTAATATATCTATATGTATTTCTTAGTGATCTTAATTATTATTAGGTACTTTATGCTCACATTGCACTCGTACGATACTATAACTCTAACAACCATTTACAACATTCCTGTGTGTCTATTTGTTGGAGATAATACTTTAAATAGTTGATTGAATTGTAAATCGATTGTAATAAAATTTTGGCAAGTTTCGGGAAAAAAGAGTAACACAATGTACATAAATATCAATGTGCATAAATATTGAAATTAATATACTATACAATTTTATTATATGTATAGGCAAAAAAAAAAACGCCAGAGTAACCTTATAATTTGAAGAAGAAACAGATGGATAGCAAGGCCACAGTAATTGTTATGTTGACTAATTGGCAGCGCTGTTACAATTAATCTATTGAACGATACATATTGGGCAGCGAATGTGAATTACATTACAGTGGAACCGGACTTGGGTGTTAAATTTACGTAAACCTAGACTGAATTATGAAGCTAATCTCGCATTATATACTTTAATACATTAAAAATGACGTAGATATAGTTGAAAAATATAGGTACAAAAATTTTAATTTCATAATAATTTTTGGTATATAATTCATATCAGTCAAAAGCATTATAGATACATTATATGTTATTACTGAGAACTCTGAACCTAATTGAGAAATGATATATAATTTTAAATATAGTACGTAAAAACAACACGCTATTGAAATTAAATAAAGAAGCCCAAAAAATTTATCCTCTTTCCAGCTAAAGACTAAAATGGCTTCGGAGATAAGACATACATATATGTAGGCATAAAGCATTTGAATTAAAAGAATTATTTTTGTTTGAAACATAATTTACAAATTGACTATTTATTTGCTACTCGAATCACAAATGATAATTAAAATATTACTTAGTAGGTAAATTATAAAAACTTAAAAAAAACTACATCCAGGCACTAAAATGTAAAAAATTACTAAACTGGAGTTTTCATTTAGAGCAAATAGCTAATCAGATATTTTCGAATCGATGCCAGTCGAACAAGGCAAATCTAATACATTTCGATACGTAAAATACATATTTACCTATTAGATATTCATTTCTTAAAATATTGTCGGCTGGCACCGACTTCAAAAATATCTGATTAGGTGTCTATTCTAAATGAAAACCTCCGTTTAGTTGTTTTTTTTTCATTTTTAGTGTAGACGTAATAAGCAGGTCATTTGTAAGAAGAATGTTTTTTAATAACATATTTTTAAATTTTTTTAAAATTTAAAATTTATAAGGGACCACCTGGGAAGTATATACCCTTTGAAACAAAAAAATCCAAATCGGTTCAGACGTCTTCGAGTAATCGGTGAACATACATAAAAAAAAAAGATTCCGACGAATTGAGAACCTCCTCCTTTTTGGAAGTCGGTAAATAAATATTCATTAAAAAGAGTGTGTATATTAGCTTCACCAATTTAATGTTATCTTCAGCTATGTTTGATATGGTAAAGTAAAGTAAAGTAATGATAAGTACTAACTCATAAAGTAAAGAAGTAACAGACTGAATGTTGTTTGGGACGGAAATCGAAGACTGTTTTATTTTCTATCTTGTATGTTTGCTTGCTCACGCATCAATTGGAAACGACTTCTGCAACAGACTATATATATATATATATATATATATATATATATATATATATATATATATATATTTCTTCTAAAAGCAATGCTTTTAACAGATTATATATACTTAGCGTTACTTAAAAAGAAAATTAACTTTCATTTTAATCAGTTGTATGTATGTATTCAAATAATACACATTTAAACATATATTTATATTTTTTAAAATACAATAACACATTATATTTAGTCTATACACATGTACATGTATTTCAAATGAGAAAAATTTTTTTCACGACAAACAGATTGACGTGACGTTTTGCATAGAGTTAGTAAGTACCTATGTGCATATATTATAGGCCGAAGCTTTGTAGTACTATACTTCTTACCCCGGTATGTCCAGTAGTTCCCATAAAATATTTTTGTTCATTACAAAAACTGCGTAGGGAAGGCTTGAGCGAAGCAAGGGTGAGCGAAGCAATATAGGTGTTAAGGTAGAACATATGAATCATGTACAATAAACATACATATATGTATAAAAAGGATTACTAAACAAAATAGAAGAATGAAATATTGTAATTATTTCAATAATTAAGAATTTTAGCAAATATAAACTTTATAATAGGCTAAAAGTACATATTGGTGTCATGATGAGTAACGTCCAAAGCATGCAAGCTGTAACACGCATTTAGCCGACGCGTCTGTATGAAATTAGCATGTTTAGGGAACAATGAAAGATGAGACAACCGCAGCTTGGACATTAAGCGCAATTAAGGAGTTCCGGAACATCGGCCTGTTTGTTAATTATAAACTACGTTGGCGATAGGACTGATCGTGCCGAATAAATTTATTTATTCTATCTGTACCCGTCTAGGTACCTACTTATACTGTGGAATGTGGACGTCTGTTTAAATCTAGCGGCATTTTGTAAAATTCCGTAGTCATTTTCCACGTGCACCAATTTTCTTTGCAATCAGCTGAACGGTCTAAAATCTAGATTCTAGAGGTTGATGCACTGCAGGGTGCGCCGCCATGTAATAGCGAGTTAAAGTAGATAGTAAAAAAACTACCATCATCCATAAAATTCGTATGTGTCACAAAACAATCCCATAGTTCTACAATTTCGAATACATATTTGCGGATATGTAGAAACAAACATACACATTTTTAATATACATATTTATATATCCTTAGGTAGATTGAATTTATTACTCTTATTTAGACGCACGTTATTATATTAGAATGAATTTTGGAAATCCTTAATAAGTACGCTCCTGCTTCAGTTATATTTTTTTATGTAAAGTTAAGGAAAATACTGTAATGTTCATGAATATTTAAGCACAAATATTACGATTGTCAAACCTAAAAATTCGCTAGCATCCCTGAAAATATCGAATCATTATTCATTACTTAACCAAATAGATTCTTATGATAAAGTACTTATAATGAAAACTTGATTCAAAAATCTAACCAAAAAGTGTACAAAAAGCTGATTTTGTACGCATAATTTACATATATCTAGTAAATAGTAACGTTACCATACCAGTATTTGTATAACAGATGCCGTGAGAAGTTCAAAGTAGAACATTGTACGCGGTAAAGGTAATATTATCTCCATTGTTATATGAGATATTAAACATTTTTCGTCAATCATTTTATCACCGTTTCGTTTTAAACTATTATTAGACACTTATACAAAAAAAAGTCAATTCAATTAATTGCTAATATTAAAACCCGGTAATAATAATAGTACACATATTGTTTCTTCGTCATTATTATTAACTATTTTCAATATAAAATTAGTTAAATATATTATAGTAGCTTTCAAATGTATCGCGATTGTGAGAGTTCTTGGATATGCGAGGTCACCAGTTTAGTATGTATGTCAACCTGGTTCGAAGTGCTGACTATAGAGCGCATCAGATTCCGTGGGCCGTTATCTAAAGGTACTTACAAACGTGTACAAAGACGATACATGTATTTTGAATTTTAATGATGGTCAATCTTTAAAAACCTTGCAAAAATCATTATATATTTATATATATATATATATATATATATATATATATATATATATATAATTTATTTATTATTATTTTATATACTTATTTTTTGTAGTAAAATAAATTATATTTATTTATTTATTATTTAATTAGATAATTTTCTACTCAGATATTCTTGGTCTGTATGGATTTTATTGCTTTTCTTGTAAAAGTAACCTATTTTTTTTATTATAAATTTGATTTACAAACTATATACACATATTTATGTAACGTTTTCTTACTTATACATAGTTTAAAATCAACATAACTTTAATTAAGAACGTAATAGCTAAAATAACCAAGAAGATATAGTGAAAATGTGTAAGTTATGATAAGTACACCTGAAAATGTCAATACAACATTTACATACATAATACATATATTATTATTAACTTTATAAATTATCGAGTTATGTCATTTTAGATTTATTGGTCAATTTTGTATATGATTAAGAATTAACATCTTACATAAAATTATTTCATTATTTGTATGTATATATATGTATTTAACCTCAAGAAAATATTATCTATACATATAATAAAATTGTAACTAAGCCGAATCTGTACATTAAATATTTTTTTGGAAAATCTTATTGAAATAGACATTATTATCGATACAGAGTTTTCAGAATTTTGTCTGTCTGTCTGTTACCGCATCACAGGAAAACCAATGGATAAATTTTGATGAAATTTGGTATGGGCTGGTTATCTGGGTCAACATATAGGATACTTTTTACCGTATATCGAAAATGTCTCACATCTGAGAAAAAATACAAAAACTGCAATGTAAGACTTTAAGAATTTCGCTTTTGATTATCTGAACGCTGGCGTAGTCGCGGGCAATGCTAGTATATTTGCTAGCAATATACCTTTGTTTTACTTGAATGCATCCCTGGGTATATATTTTTTTTTCAGCAGAACTCTAGTCCTTTTTTTAAGTAGTTAATTAAGTAGCCTAAGTTACTCCTTATAACATCAGCTATCTCCGTTTTAGAGTTTAGCGGGAACAAACAAGCAGACTAAAAATAAAAATTATATTTTTCATATAGGTACTGTAAATAATATCATATGCATTTAGTAAAAAGCTGTTATTTTAACATTAATAACAGACACTTCAATTTTATTTATCTGTATAAATACTACATATTTATGTGAGGCAAAAGCAGAAGACCATATTATACTTTTTAACAAAATATATAATACTAGCAGTCTAGTCCCCATACAAATTTTGAGGGATGATATCCGGAATAAAAATTATCCGATGTCCTTCTCAGGGTCTCAAACTATCTTCATATCAAATGTTATATAAATCGATCCAGTAGTTTTTGAGTTTATTGATTAAAAACATACAAAAAATCAAATCTTTCTTCTTTATAATATTAGTGTAGATGGGTTTAGACTAGCGACTCGCCTTTGCTCCGCTCGGGTTTGTCCCTACTTATGTTTGAGTGTTTAGTTTAGATTTCTCAGAGATAAGACATTTCTGGCAGTAAAAGTATTCTATATGTTGACCCATATAACCATACTGTAGCAATAATAATGACTATTTCAATAAGATTTTCCAATAAAAAAATTTATGTGCAGATTTGACTCAGAATTTTATTATATGTATAGTACAAATAAATTATTTATTCCTTTATAGTAATACATATATAACTACTGATAAGTACTGTATAATTTAATAACTAATGTAATGTATATAATTCTATCAATATCAACATCAACTCATTATGACATACAGTATAAATAAACAAATCATAATAATATTTTAGAGGCACTTAGAGGGTAAAATGGAAATTAAAATAATAGGGTTTGTTATGCAAGATAATAACATATTAAAAAGATATGAAAACAAAGCTTATGATTAAATCATACATAAACTTACCTCTTTCACAGTGTCCCTTTTTTGAATTACATCAGGATCAGTACTGGGGTCTATAGCAGGAACAACATATTTCTTGATAGTTTCATCTACTTTTATATCTTGTAGGTCATCTTTGCTTGCAGCATTATTTTTGAACGCTGGTTCTTCAATGGCATTGATGGGAGGTTTACTTGGACCTTTTGATGACGAAACCGATGGTGCTACATCAAAGTTTGGCCTCTCGAGCACTTTCATGCCCATATCTTCGTCTATTTTAGCACGCAATCGATTTCTATCCTCCAGAACATGAGGATCGTCACCTTCTTCTCGATGACGGACGATACCTACTATGGGAAAGTCGCCAACTTCATTTTGAGCGAGAGGCGGAGGCATAAGAAGTTCTGGGCCTGCTTTTTGAATGCGTTTATACACATTATATACACTATCATTAACACTCGTAGAACTTTTAAACTCTGGCAAATAAAACAGTGCGCCTAGCCATACGATTGCAAATGTCAAAAGAACTGAAATAATCAAATATTTTTCACGGATACGAAAAGAACGTCGAGAAATGGACGGCACAGGAACCCCGTTCACAAATCTTTGATAACTCGGTAAAATTCCCGTCATGTTTACGTAAACACAGTTGACTACTATTATTCTAAATAACTAATGTCAATTTTTATAAGACGACCCGTCATTGGTGGTCGCCATTAAAGAACTAACTACTGAGCATAGCTCAGTGTAGCCAACACTTGAAATTTTATCCCCCTAAAAGTGATTTAAAAAACCCCTAAAACCCCCTAAGTGACAATTTGAAAAATATAGATTTATATCTAATATTATTTTTTAAATTTTAAATGTATTTTTTATAATACTTTCTTATAATACTTAGTTAGTTTTATTTAATAATGTATTTTTTATTTTAAATTATTACAAGTAGCGTAAAAAACTTATTTATGGTTATTATTATATTAATTACTTATAACCCTTTAAAATTAATAATTAGTTCCATAGATAACTTAGAATATAATAAAAAAGGGATATAATTTTTCCAAGTCTTTAACCGAAACTTTATAAACCCCGAAATAAAGACCCTAAATATGTTTGCCCCCTGAAAAATCCCCGGTGTCATTTTTTAACCGTAAATTTGAGGGGGGAAAGGCCTTAAGTTGGCTACACTGGTTGCCAGCACGAACTCAGAAATGTAACCATTAATGGCATTATGCGGTTCACCACTAGATGTCATATTTATTACGAAATAAATCAAAATTAAAATAGTTAACTCATCAAGAAGTTCGATCATTTACAAATGTCCAAATTAAGGATGTGCTTCGTTGTATTACATAAATTTAATAATCACAGATAACATATTTGTAAAGTTAATTATTATAAAAAAATACTTTTATTTACAAATAAAAAGAATCTATAAGGTTATAATACTTAAGTCATTTTATAAAAAAAAATCCTAAAATAAGCCCCAAATTTTTTCCCCCTATAAAAACCCCTAAACATTTTTTCCCCTAAATTTGGGGGAGAAACCCCAAAGCTGTCTACACTGGCATAACTGCCAACTGCCAAATTGACTACTTGTACGGCTTTAAATTATAATTTTACCTATGTCAAACTATTCAAACAGAAGTGATAACTTCGAACTAAAACTTTGATGTAAAAGTATAAAACGAATTTTTTTTTATTCAGGAATATGGTAAGATGTTGATTAAACTTTCATGCCTATTACTTTACTAAAGGAAAGAATTTTACCCTTTTCTCCCAGATGTCGCGATCACTATGACCTTCAGTATATTGTAAAGCACTTTAGCGTGGATGGAGTTTTTTATTTTTTATTTCATTTAAAAATAATTAAAATGACAAATTGTGCAGTGCTAGGATGCAAAGAAAATGGATATCATTTGTTCTCAAAAGACAAAAACAATAAAAATAAAAAATTATTTTGTGTACTTTTTTACATATTAATTACAGAGTTTCATACAAAACTTTCATCCCCCATTTTACCTCCATATGGGATTAAATGTTGGAAAATGTTAAAAGACGTATTTATTTAATTGTATTGAAGCGCATTAAATACCAAGTTTCAAGTAATTCTGATCATAAATAATTCTTTGCCCATATAAACTTTATTATCATCTTATTATTCTTTTAAGCGATGAATTTCGAGAAAAATAAAAATATTTATTATTTTTGTCGTAAAGCTATGTTTAGCTTTACCAGCTACTTTTTGCGTATTTCACATTAAGAATGACAGAGTTTCATACATTCTATAATCCCTTATTTTACCCACTAAAGGGATGAATTTCGTTAAATCCTTTCTTATTGGATGCCTACACCATATAACGAATATGTCGTCCAAATTTCATATTTTTACGACCAGCAGTTTAGGCTGTGTATTGATCCATCAGTCAAAGAATCACTGCAGGATACAACTATTCTTCACAATTCTTCCTTCAGCTCCACTCCAACTCCTAGTAGAATACATTACACAGGTAATTTGCGAACATATTATAAGCATAAAACCAGATATGAATTGCATAACGTCAGACTAAATATAAATAAATAGGCCATACGTGTGGCGCCCTCCTTCCGAGAAAACTTCCCCATTGAATAATAATAGTTGAATTACTTATTGTGTGTCTAAAATCATAATTCTAAACGTCGTTTTCAATCTCAGACTAAGGAATAATATTTATATCATAGAACTAAACATGAACGATGAAGCCAAACAAAAATATCGTGTGTGTATGTATTAAAAACATATTTAAGCGCCATTTATATATAGAGAGTTTACGGCACGTTTTGGGGGCAAGAAGGTCTTATGCTATTGTCGTAGGCGATAATGTTGACACTAATGAGTATTGTCTATCGCATTCACATGTTTAAGTTCAACCAAAAAACAAAAACTCGCCTACGAGTTAGTCGCACGATATTCGTAAGGTAATTATCGCCAAGTGTTTTGGTAACACTACGACACTAATCGCAATGATTGAATGAGATATTTGGTAACGATTTCTCGACTTGTACACTCGATCTCTTATGATATTTTTTCAAGCTCATGCCAAAGAGAATGTAACCAATGCGGTTCATGCGAGTATCGTATAAATCGGTTTGAAGTTTATTTAAACTTTAAACCGATTTGAATGCGAGGGTTGACATTCGAACTCTGTGATTAGCACGGTTTTTATATTTTAATATCTATATGTCCAATACATTTTGAGGGTTCCGTGCCTATTTTACTCATTGAAATAATTAATTTAATTTTTGTTTAATTTTTTAAACTATTTTTTTCGCTGAATATTCCGACGTGTAGGTACTTATAGTTGCTTAAGTATGAACTATGAAATGATGGTTAAATAATTCATGAAGAATTATAATGTCTACATATTATAATATTTTTATACATGATGCCCCAGAAAGTAGTGTCAAGCGGAAGTCCAGAGATAGAGCAGCCTTGCCACTTGGGGTACCCGAATCACCTCCATGTACCTATGTTACGCGATTGTTCAATGTCATAGTATTTGAGTAGTGAATTTTATTCTGAATTTTGAGAATTTTCAAACTGTAATACAACTTTAAAAAGTTCTAAAAGTAGAAGACTTCTTCGAGATTTTTTTTTGTAACTGAATCTTCATGAGTTGTACTTTTATGATAAAAATAATCAGCTTCGTAACTTTAATGGAAATTATGAAAATGTTAGTGTAAATTGAAAAATTTACGTTCGGTGAATTATGACTTAAATTTTCAACTTTAAATTAAAAATTTAAACAGGTGACTTCATGATTCCTAAGTTCGTCTCAAAAGTTTTTCAGGAAACAAAAAAGAAAGAAAAAACTAACAAAAAAGAAACTAAAAAAAGTAGCTTTATACCTACCATTTGCTGCAGAAATCCTTGGCCCGTGGAGTCAAAGTGCTAAATACTTCTTAAAAGACAAACACCGTCTTATAAAACATCTTATAAATACATTTGTTTCATATATAAAATTGAATTTGTTTTCTAACTTCAATGTATTTTCTTTATTGTAAATAAATATAGAGCTAAAGAAGTAGTATATATTATGTTAAAATTGTAGATTTAGCTAATAAATATAGACTTTTCAAAAAGCCTTTTTATTTTTAATAACCATTATATTTGGGTTGCCAGTAAAATGGCAATTTTTTTGTTTAAAAACCATGCAGCATCCGGTTGCTGATGTATTTTACAGTAGTTTTAAGTTTATGTATTAAAGTTGCATTTAAAGCGATGCACAATTCTAAGTTTGTTAAAATGTATGTGATGGTTTACAGAAACAATAATATTGTTCAAGAAAAAATATAAATTCATGCATCATCATGATCACAATTCCTTTATCCTTAGATCTTGTTATTTTACTTTTTTTATTTTTGTTTACCAATTAGCGACTCACCCTCGCTCCGCTCGGGTTCGTCTCTAGGGGATTCTTTAAATTGAAGTAACTTTTTTATTTATGAACCGATTGAAATAAAACAAATACTACATGTTAAGTGAAGACATCCAAATCGCTTAAGCCGTTTCTGAGATTAGCGCGCACAAACGCACAGACAATCTGACAAAAATTCTAAAAAACATCGTTTTGGGTTCTATTGCGTAAATACAGTTTTTCTCAAACATCTTCCATGTACAGACAGCGATCAGTTACACTTTTATTATATGTATAGATGTAAAGGTACTTATATTATTTAGTAGATTACGACATAGTCACCTGTGGATGTGTAAACTGTTAATTGTGAGGAGTCTTAATGTTTCTTTATAATAATTAGGCGAGTTAAACTCAATTAAAACAGCAGCTTTATTTCGAAATTATGTATTTAAGTTATAAAATTTTTCAATGTATCATATAATATTAGCATGTTAAACAGTATCTCGTTATACTATTACATTTACAACTTATTTCTATGAAGCTAAATATAGAAAACTGTTTCCTTATAATTATAATTGTAGAGATTTCTCAAATGAGATCAGTCGTAACTTAAAATATCTTAATTTAATGATTTATTTTTAGCAAACACGTGCTATGATCGGGGCTTGAACCGAGACATGTAGAAATCACAATCTGGACAATAAGTAGCGGGAGGGCTTACCGTTTTCTTACGACACAAGTTACATACCATTTTCTGACCTGGTATTGAAGATGGCATATTTTCACTAGAATAGTTGCCGTTCATCTGTGGTGGTATAGGAGAATCTGTTCCACCTTTAGTTCCCGGTTCGAAAGAAACAGATTTTTTTTGAATTTGTTTGGGTGGCGGCAGATGTTGGTAAGGATTGTAGTTATTTTGAGAATATTGATACTGTTCGTTATTTGTAACATCAGAATTAGTTGTTTGGTTGTAAGAAGGGACGCGTTGAGATTGCGAGTTTGCATAATGTCTAGCTTCCGGAAGACGAGTTTGATTGTTAGCATTGCTATCAAGGTAAAAGTTATTGGGCATTTTTTGATGATTCCCATTGTAATTGTCGACAGAGTTTAGTATGTCTCCGTGTGGCGGTGGAACTCTCTGATAAGGTGAAAGATTGTTATAATGAGTTGTGTTGTTCACTTGGGTGTAACGACTAGAATAATCAGAGTTAGCATAGTTCGTCGGTGGGTTGTGGTAGCTCTGATAAGCTGGCGAATTGGTGGGCACGCTTTGGTAAGGCGAATTATTGGTTTGCACGTTTTGATTGTACTGTCGGCTATATGTATTGTTCGGAAGAGCTGGAGCAGAAGATTGCTGTGGCAACCTATGATAATAGCTGTTATTTGTTTGATTCACTTGATGATGTTGACTGGGCTGATGAGAATAAGTATTAGGTACGGTTCTTGGTACATTGGAAACATGTTTTGTTACGTAAGTGGAATTGTGTGATTGTGGTGTTAATCTATTTGCAGGATTTTGGCTAAAATTCGGTGGGCTAGCGTTGCTTTGATTAGGATATACAGATGGCGGTTGAGTGTACGGTATTGGATTACTATTCTGTTGAGGATTTGCGGGCAAAGCTTGGTAGATTTGGTTATTATTCTGTATGCCTGGATTTGTCAGTATTGGCGAAATTGTTCTTTGAATTGAAGTGCTCTTTTGTGGATTATACTGTTGTTGAGGGCGTGTTTGAGCAATTTGATAACTTGGATATGAATTCTGAACTCTGTAATAGTCGGCATGCCCAGCATCACTAGGAACATATGACGTTTGAGATAATGCTGATATAGTAGATCTTGAAGATTGGCTGTCGAACGAATCTGTTCTTTGAAGAGAAGGTTTCTCGGATTGCAAAGGAACTGTTGTAAGTTCTGGTCGATTCATCGCAGATTTCAGAACTCTTTCTAATATTGGATTCGGAATATAACTGTCATCTTCTTGGTCTTCTGCAGTAGCAACTAGTATAACTTGATCGCAAAAAGATACTGACTTTTTCTTAGGTTTTGTCCGTTCCCCGTAGATATTAGCATTAGTTTTTTGTTCACTATATTCATCTTCCATTTGTTTAGGGTCAATTGAAGATGAAGATCCACGTCGATTATATATCCTGTTATTATGAGATTGATTAGAACAGTTAATTACGTCACGACTGCCAGTAATACTTGTATATCCCGCATGTGATCGATCTCCGTCGCTTAGAGTAGTGCTCTCAAATTTGGATGCAATATTTTTTACATTATTACTATTTTCTTGTGATGAGTTATCGTTGGTACTAGAAAGCTGGCACTCCAACGAGCCGGACCGTTTTAATTTTAGAGCTGCCTGTTTAGCTTGTAACTCTCGGAGCCAATTATCGCCAGTAGTACCAATATTATCCAAATGATTTGACTTAGACGAATCTTCATTTCTTAAAATTTGATTTCGTTTTTCCTGCAATTGTGCCAATAGAGAATCTTTCGGTATGTCCATATCATTTTCATCATATCTAGTGTTGTCATGAGTAACGGTCATGTGTTCGTGTATTTTCATGAGTTCATCTTGGACCGGTGTTAAGTCTATCGGCGGTGGTGGAGGAGGAAATTCTTCACTAGGTTGTCTAGAATGATTAACAGAATTCATTGGACTCGGATAAGGTGGTAATTCAAACATTTGTGGCGATCGTCTCGGTGGCATTGCACAATCGACGACATCAATACCGCTGTCGAATATATTCGTCAAGTTTTGTATGTTATTATGAGTTGGAAGTATATTTTGTGTAGTGTCTCTTTTAACTGGACTCTGCTCTTGGTGTATCATAGCTGTAGTGACAATAGTGTGAAAGATTTGAGAAGTATTAGGAGAATCATCCAGCCTGTTATTGTTATTATGATTTGGGTTACCATCATAAGACGGTAAAAATGGTAGCGATTGGGGCTCATCGCCATATTGTTCAGAAAATCCACCGTCTTCTTCGTTGTCTTGAGTATAAGCATACTCAGAGTGATTAGTTTTCGGCAACGGCTGTTGCGGTCGTTTCTGAACGCCTTGCTCCATTACTTCTGGCTCGAACTTAGTCCCGCTAAGCTGAGAAGTAGTTCGCAGCGGCGGCGGGGGAGGAACTTTAGCTGCAGTGAGAATTTTTCCAGCGCTCCCATGAAAGCTTTTTCTCATTAATTTACTTCTCTCTAAATTGGGATTGGTCCCGCCCGCTGCAGAGTACTCCAAATGACCTTCCGACAAATAACCGCTTAAGTTTGTTTTATCATCAGATTTTCTCCTGCCGACATCAGCGTCATCTACAGAAGAAACTCTCGTTTCTTTACTTTTGGATTCATTATCTCCGTCAGCGCCTTCTGTTAAATCTGGCATTGAACGATTTTTCCTTCTGATTAAACCACCCATGAGCAATTTTCTTCTAATTTTATGTTGCTTCTTATTACTCTTTTTATCTTCTGTGGTCTCTTCTTTCTTTTCTGGAGCTACAGTTATTTCCTTACGAGCACGACCACGATCTTCGCTTCGAGAACGTTTTTCTCTTCCTTTTTCTTCATCTCTAGATTTATGTCTTGGAGGACGCTCTCTTGATGGACAGTCAATATCGTCTACAATAGAGTTTTTAGGCGATTTTTTGGAACTTTTCTTTTTAGGCAAAGTCGCATAAATTTCTATGGTAGTAGGTGAATTTTCCAAGCCACCTTTAGTATTTCTTACCGGTGCCAATTGAGGGATTTCAGTAACTCTATTCATTCCTGCCATGCGACGTTGTAAGCTACGAGCACGCATTACACAAGTATTATGCTTCATGCGGGCAAAAGTCATCGTATGTGGGTTATTATAAGGCGCGTCCATAGCGGCACGCGCTTTTGCTGCTGCTGCGTCACACAACACCAAGGCAGTTTCGTAATCTGCTGCATCTTCGGCATGACGTGATTTTTCTAATAACCTATCAGCTTCTAAACAAAGTGCTTCGCAGTCACCTCTCGTGATTAGCTCAGGTATTTGAGCTAGTTGTAAATTATGCCGCAATCCTTGCTGAAGTGGAAGGCTATCGGTGGAAGAAAGAGAGTACGAATCGTAACCAGCATCACATGATCCTCCACTAGATAATTCACCTTTTCGAGTTGGACTACTGGGAACGCTGCCACGCCCTCGTGAGTACATATATGGGCTCTCAACAGTTGAAGAAGAAGAAGAGGCACTATTTCTGTCTCCACTCCAGTTACCAGAGTCTCTGCGGGCTCGCGGTCTCTCCTGAGTGTCTGAAGCTGAACTGGTACTTAAACTTCTTGCTAATTGGGCCCGGCGACTAGCTTGGACTTCCAGCATGTTTTCGACAGCTTTCCTACTAACATAGTCGCTATCGTTGTCAGGCCCAGGAGTTACTGCCCTCCGAGCGTACCCATTAGTTGGCCTCTCTGGAGCGGGCGTAACGGCTCTTCTCGGTTCGGGGGCAGGGAATGGCACCACATCCTTAGGAGCATGACGAGTATCACATGGAGTTCCATCTACCGCAGCATACAGTAGTAAAAGGGGTTGAAATCTACCTCTTTTACATTTTTCTACAACTTGCGACCATTCTGGACCTATTTCTTTAACATCAGCGTCGTCGAAATATATCCATACACGTAATTTGCTATGGAAGAAAAAGGTTGAGTAGTGTTTTCCATAGTAAGTGACAAGGCCGACGAGCCGATGTGTTGCTCGAGCTGCCCAAGCTCGGTCTACGCATGCATGAAAAGCATCAGTTGGCCGTAATTCTGTACCCAAAGCTGCATAAACTGCCGCTACGTGGTCAGCAGCCGGTCTGTCGGAATCCCAAACCATGCCTATCGATACAACTTCAGGACGATTCATCAATGTTCTGCAGATTTGTATTTTGGCACCACAGGCATTCTGTAAAATAAATAAACTTTACTTAATATTGTTTGCTTTGTCACTAATTAGAATTTTAGCCCTTATCCACTAATTGGTATATTGAAGTGTGCTGGAATGCTGGTAAGTTTTTATTTAAAAATTTACTAAGCTTAATTAAATGTTAGTAAAAAATGTATACTGAATAAATAAAATTAGTAATCAATAAACAACATATAATGATACATTTATATAAAACTTACAGGACATTCTCGTATATCACCCATGCCGCCGGCTTTTCTTAGTAGGAGGCCAAAGCTGTCGCCATGTTCTCCAAGTGCAGCTTGTGTTGTTAACGCCGTTGCGGATACGTAATGCACCATCTACCATGAAGAACAATATTTTTAAACAAAAACTCTTATTGACAATATATATAATCTATGATTAAATTAGTGCAGTTACAAACCTGAGTAAAAGGTAGTGGTTCAGAAGTGGCCTGACATGCACCACAAACAGACTGTTCTACAAGCATCATTGCGAATTTTCTGTGTGGCACACAATGCGGGGCTCTGCAGGCGTCATCATCCCTTTTTTCACCTGATCCCGCGGCTACATGGGCGTGGACTCTGAGCAAGAGATGTTCGAAACACTCGCTGGCGTCGGCCATGCAGCCGAGTTGAAAACGAGCTCCACCTCCGCCTAAAGCTCTGCGGAGGCCGTCTGCAGCTGGCGCCCTTTCCGCAGACCATTGTAGTTGTGCGAAAAGCTCCTGTAAGGTTAAAAAAATCCTTTTTAAAAATTATAAACGTACATACGACTATATACTGTACGTATACAATGTGCCTAGAGGTACATATAGTAAAAATAAAATATTTCGTTTTTAACAACACCTACTGGCAGTTTTAACAATATCAAAATAGTTATATCCTAATAGGTCTGAAAATCGTAAAATACAAAGCTAAAAAAATGAATAGATAACTGAGCTGTAGTCTCATCATCTCTCTTTTTGCCTTTTAAGTATATTTTTTGTCATGTCCAGAACGTTTTAAATTTCTTTATTGACCACAAGACTGCTTTAAAACCAGTATAACACGAATATGATAGGTCAGCCGTCAGAGCCACACGCGCCGTGACCTGGCGAGATTGTAAAACGTAAAGTACGCTTTGTTTTTGTATTTCGTAATCATTTTGTTCGAAAGCGACAGAAAACATTACTCTATTGTAATGCATAGATACAATGCGGGTGAAAAGGTCTTAAAATTAGAAATACATTTTGAGAATCGTTATCATACTACGATAAATAAGTAAAATTTGGTAAATAGCTAAGTATATCCGGTCCATGAACAAAACGGATATGCGTCGTGCCTTCCGCTGCACACATCATAAAGACTTCGTGTCTATCCCGAATATACAAAATTAAACAATATATAAATTTAAAAAAAAACCGGAATAGCAAGTTATATAAAATTACAAAAAATCTTACTATTTTGTTTTTTTTTTTGCTAAAAACTGTATGTATGTATGTATGTATAACGATTTCATATAAAGAAATAAACCATAAAAGAAAGCATTTAGATATATAATCTCAACTGAGGTGAGAACTCGGCTACTTCTCCTATTGTTGTGTGAGAGATATGCACTTACGATCCCAGGCACAGCACTGTGTACTGATTGCTTCCTACAATACTAATTTCTAAAAAAAATATTGTCATCTAGCTCTTACATATATATACATGTACTTTCAAGCAAATGAATAAGGTTTTATTATATAAGCATATTAAATAAACTTTAACAATTCTCCATATCATGTGTACGTCTTTGATGCCTCCAACAGATAGGTACTAAAGATTTCCGTTGTAAACAACATTCAATGCAAGGCGCATCGCAGCCTGCGTACGAACAAAGTTGTATAAATATTCTTTATTTAAATTGCCGTTGGAAACTTCGACTTTATAGGCTTTTAGGGGGTCAGAAACGAGCAATGCATACAAGTTTCGCCTTCATGTATATAGGATAGGTAACTGTAAATGTTTCTTCTTACGGGGTCGTATATATACAAAGTTTAAACCAAAAGTTAACATTATTATTATATTTCTGTCAAATTCGATTAAATTCCTAGGTTTGAATTTCTAATTCCTATGCTGAAAATTTTGGTTGGTTGTGTAAAATCTGAAATTATTACATCTGTAAACCGTTTAGATGGATATCTGCATTATTTACAATGTGTTAAATTACACGCAGAGTAGCCTTGCTCTACAGTAACGTTCTTTATATTATTATCGTATCAAAATCAAGACTTGCGTGCTTTGTTCTTACAGTGATTGCAACCTTTCCATTAGCTTCTATCAATTGATACAACACTCGCCTTAAAGACAATGATTACGAGAGCCTAAATAATTCATGACCTCGCAAGTAATTATTAAATCATTAGATAGAAAGTATTAGGTAAATTTTGTTCTATTAAAACTAATTACCTGTTGCATATTAAAATAGGCAACATAAATCGTTACCTATTAATGAATACGTTCATCTTTAATTAATGAATAATTACAAAAACAAATGAGGTAAGTAAACAGTTAGATTCGTAGACATCGTAGGTAATACGATATTTTAGGCTAATTTCATATGCGAACTTACTCTGAACAAGGCTAATGTAGTTTGGCTAAGGGATTCAGGTGCATCCCTTCTTGCAGCGGAGGGAGGTCTAGAGCGCGGAAGAGTATTGTGTCGCACTCCAGCCAACGATCCCCCTATTAGATCCTTAGGGGGCAACAGCTCTCTATCCTTGAGAACGTCGATCTTCTGCTTCTGTATAGCTGTTCCTGCTTTTCCTCCATCACTTGCTTCTTTACGCTTATACCGAAACTTAATCATTTCATCGACTAGTCCGCATCGCTCACACTATGCACAAACACAACCGTCAGCCTAGCGAATTAATTGAATTCGATGCCTCATTTAGATTCAATCTCCATAGTAGTCGTGATCGAAGACAATGGCCGCGCGCTAAATATACATATCTCTATCAATCGCTGTGTCCGCAAGAACCTCGTATAAGGTAATAAGTAACCGAAACACGTAAGACTAAGAAACTTATCATTAGAATTCTACTTCGCTCCTAAGTTACGTTTAACTATGTTCTCCGATATTATGGTATTATTATATTTGAACTCCAACTCCTACTACCATGTGTTTAAGAAAAGGTTTCGGCGGGAAGGCTGGCTACGAACAGGTATAGCGACAGGTGGGTGAAATGGGTAACTACAAAACAACTGCCGAATTGCGTCACTGCCTTAGCCACGAAACTTTTAAAGCACTGATAATAATCACGTAATGAAATAACTACGAGTAAAATGTATTATTTATTGAGTAAAAACACATAAACAATAAAAAACAGCAGCGATACGATCGTCTGCGAGAAGGCTTTCTATGAGACTGGGTTGAGTGCAGCGGCGTGCGGGCGGGAAACCCGAGCGCCTCTACCTTCCAGGTAGGTTTGCTTTTTGTAATCTATTGTTGACGTACCTCACGTGGGTCTCACACTATCTCTTTCATACTTGTTTAAAGAAGTATTAGGATCGCCTTTTTTGGGACTCTATTATTACAGCAGTAACTAAAACTACGAGCATATTAAGCTACACATAAAGTATAGTCAAAATATTGTTTGTGAACACGTGCAAGAAACTTGTGTTACTTACTAGAACTTTAATTATTATTGCATATTATTATTATTATGACAAAGTTCTTATATTTTTTATAAACTTACGGTAAGTATCACATAGTTATAGAGCATTATCAAACAATGTTAAGAAATGAGTCATTCTTAAGGGCTGATGTCAAACTTGATATGGATCAGCATAAATTTGAAAACAAAATATAAGTTGAATATATGATCCGTGTCAGCGTTATTTGTTACGTCCTTATCAGAAAGCACTTTCTCGTTATGAGTCAGTGTGGTATGTCGAAGTCATAAAACATATTACTTATGAAATTCCTTGCCACCTCACCCTGAGTAGGTATTCATCTCTAGATGAAACCGTGTATTTATCCTTAACAAGGTAAAAATACAAGAAAAGATTCGTCGTTAAATAAATCAAATAAAGTAAACAAGTTATTATTTAAATATTTTTATAGCTAATATTTTTTTTATTTTAGTATTAAAAGTCATACTTAAATTACGTTAATATATTTTTGCTATAGTTGTATTGTTAAGGTGCTTATTAACTTCCACTTAATGCTTAAATAATTGGAACATTTTTCGAAGACATGTAAAGCGGAAATACTTAAGTCAGGTTGAACGGTTTAAACGAGGTTTGTTATCGTACTGGGAAATCGGTTAAAAAGAATGAGTCACGTGGTGCACATATTACGAACATTTATCTTAAAGGTAGCCTATGCTCTAAAAGTTTAAGCACTAAACTAACAGAGAAAGTACAATAGTTTTTAAGAAAACCGGAAACTGACATAAACTATTACTAATCATACATATATGTATATAATCTACTAGCGGCTCACCCTCGCTTCACTCGGGTTCGTCGTTAGGTACGTTTTAAATAGATATAAATAGTTATTAGTCATAGTCGTTAATCCAGCGTTAGTCATATAATTTTATTTTTTTTGTTAATAATATTGACATATATTGACATTAATATTTATACGATACTAACGTTACTCAATTGTTTTGCCGGAACCTCTCCACTGACACTTAAACTTTATCGTATGGCATTAAAGTTTAAATTGACTTTTAAGTATTATTACGAATCTTTTGTATGGGAGTATAGAAAAGTGTTGTTTTTAGACTTTTTCAGGTGTTTTTTAAAAATTTTCTCTCCGTAAGAACCATCCTCGTACTTCAAGGAATATTCTAAAAAAAGAATTAGCGAAATCGGTTCAGCTGCTCTCGAGATTTGCGCTTAGCAACACATTCAGCGATTCATTTTTATATTATAGAGATACCTACTAATAATATAAAGAGTTAAAGTTTGTGAGTTTATGAGGTTGTAGGGGGTAATCTCTGGATCTACTGAACCGATTTAGGTGAAATATGGTAAGAAGACATTTTGAGACCCTGGAAAGGAGGATTGTTATCCTGGAAATCATCCCTTAAAGGAGTGAAAATAGGGATGCAAGTTTGTATCGGGAAGCAAGCTAGGGACGAACCCGAGCGAAGCGAGGGTGAGTCGCTAGTATATAATAAAAGTGCATGCATAATATATGCAAAACACGAAAGATATTTGAGAAAAACGATTATTGGGGGTCTTTATTAACGCAAGAGAACCCAAAACAAAGATTTTTAGATTTATTATCTGTTTGTCTCTGCCTTTGTGTGCGCTAATCTCAGAAACGGCTAAACCGATTTGGGTGCGGCTTTTACTAATGTATTGTGGTAAGCTTCAGTAAACATTTGATATTTGTTTTATTTCAATCGGTTCATAAATAAGAAGGTGAGTCGCTAGTATAAAATAAATTAATGTTGATCTGTCATTATTCATTAAATAATCTCATTACTTCTAGACAGCAAATATTAATAATTCTAACGTAAGTACAAAATAATTCGCTAATATACTGAAAAGTATGTACTCTAAAAGTGGATGTAAGGTAATTTGACGATAGAACACTTATATTTTTAATCAAGCGTAGTAACCGTGGGACGATTCTCACATAGTAGCATGCGATCCAGTTACAGTACCAACTTCTCGGTGAGAAAAATTAATCAATTACGTCTGTATTAAACAATTCTAGTCCTTCTTAGGAACATCATGTGTAGATTTATTAATATAAATATTATCAACCATTTTCATTGTTCTATAGTAAATTTCGAGCATCAAATAATTCTAATAATTTATATTTAATTCTATTTAACAAGTATGTATATGTTTATTCTGATATATATTAATAGATTTTATAATTATGTTCTAGAACATATTTTTTCAATACAAAGTCACCAGAACAAGGATAATATAAAGTGGTGAAAAGAAGGTCAAAGAATTTTACACACTATTCTGTTCAGAGTTTCGTCATCAGTTCTACGAACAAACTCATTCAGAGGCGGATTGGAAGGAGTTTTACAACATACCATTGCAAAATACCGGTTTGATATGAGATTTTTTCAATAATCCGTATTCATTTAGAATGCATAACTCGATGATTTTATGCGATACTAATTCGATGATTTTATGCAAAACATTTGGTATATCTTTATATCTGAGTCAAAATATCATAACGTAGAGAATCAAAGTATAATTAATTTATGTACATTTCCACAGTGACTTCCAAAGAAGGAGGGATTTTCAATTCGACCCGGTTTTCTTCAATAGAATAATACTAGTGAACTCTTTGTTCCCTTTAAAGTGTGAGTGCATTGAAGTGGATCTATAAATCAAAGAAATAAACTTTTACATCGTTACCTTAATTTTGGGAATCGTCATGAACAAAAGGAATAGTTTTATAAGGAATCGAAATGAATAAAAGTTATTAGGTAGGTATATATATTATGTGAGTAAAGCGAGCACTTATCGTCTGATGAACGTAACGCATTCGCTTCGACTGGCTTTACGGTGAATTATATACACTGCAATCGATTTGTTCCTCGCAACATCTGATTCAATTGAACCGAGGAAACAACCTATTGTATAAGCTCTAACGATAAACTTGAAATGTTAACGCTATTGATAATAAAATTTATCAATCGTCTTTTAAAACTAAGTAACAATTCTTATTTGTGTTAGTCCTGAAACCGATTTTTATTTTGTATAGTATATGTATGTACATACATTGCTAAACAGATTGTAGATTATGTTTAACATATATGAACTTTATGATAATATGCGGTCGTGGGTTGATGTTTACCAAATATCGCCAGAACGATCACAAGTTTACGGATATGTCGCAGTGTGGGTGAACAGACAATGGTATCTGTAGTCTGTAATTAGTGTCGTATTACAACAACTGTTTCGATGAATATACATAAGCGTATCGATTGATATTGCGCTCTGTAAAAAACTCGAATAACGTTTGTTAAAAATCTTCTATTTGATATCATTAAGAATGGAATGTGTCATTGAAAATGGTATCTACGTAATGAGGTGTCGAAGATACATTTAAATAAAGTAGTGATAGAGGTTGTATATTCGGCACGTTCGCAAGGCTAACGAGTGATCACCTCGGGATCGTATACTAGAATTCACTTCCAATATGTTGCACCACTCACTTATAGCACAAACTCAACGATAATGACCTTTGCCACTTAAACACACAATACTGACACAAATTGCAAAACGCCTACTCGAATACTCTATAGTCTCGCATAGAGTATGTAGTCATGTACAGTTAACAAGTAGGATATAATTTTTATCACAGTATACATATACGCGTCTGTTCGCGACGGTAGAAAAACCGCGTGTACGCTCTCGCACAGTCACAGGCTGCGTAGGCGCATGAGCCCGAAAGAGATGGGAGTCGAAGGCTCTGGCGCCGCGTGTATGAAGATCATGAGTGCGAGCGAGACGCATGAGAGACTTAAGCGACAGTCCAGTTACGTATCGTATCTCGTTTCGATATAGCAGATATAAAGCCTTCAGAGACAAGAGCTTTTAAATATATTTTTTTACAATTTAAACATGTAATATTATTTAAAAAGTACAGCTATTCGTGCGTGCAAACCACTTGGCATAGCATAATTTCTATTTTTACCTATTAGTATCGACCTTTAATAAATGTACAGCTATCATTATTTACAACATACAGTACCTACATGTATCAAATTCATTTAAAATTCAGAACATATAGGTAATACGCATTTTTTAAAGAGCGTAACATTTTTCCTTTGTATTACCTACATTTGAGCAACACTTAAAATATGTAGCGGTTATATGAAA